CGCCGCCACCACCGCTGCTATCGCGCGCTCGAAAAAGGGAAGTGGGGACGACACAACACAGCGCGGCCGCGTGTGCAGGTTGCTTTTACAGAGCTTCGCTCGGCATACGGCGAAACGTTTCGCCTTGTGCTGCTGCTGCTGGCTGCTGGCTGCCGACTGCCAACTGTCGACTGCTTCTCTCAGTCTGCCGGGCGGCCTCGCGCGCGCTTGGTTTCCACTGACGAATCCGCGCGTCGCGAAGCGAACGCGGAATTCTCGTGGAAGATCGACGATCGTCGTCGTCGTGAATCTATCTGTCGAACGCGGCATTGTCAAAGATTGTGGGTTAAAGCTAAAGAAAGAAACGATATCTATCGACGCTGAGGATGACGCCGAGGTAAAAGTCGTGGCGAGATCCATCCGTGTGTGGTGGACTCTCGAGAGATACACGAGAGAGATTACAGGAGACAGCTGAGGGAAAGAGAGAAGGAGAGGGGGAGAGAGAGAGAGAGAGAGAGAAAGAAAGAAAAAGAGAGAGCGCGAAGGGTTAGGAATTCGTGTGCTATCGAGGACACGAGGATCTTTGAGTCGTCGCGACCTGTGCAACGTGCGTTCTGTTTCATAAAAAAGCGCTCAGCGTAACAACACCACGTGTCGCGATGATTTGTCGTGGCTGGTGGCACCGAGTGTCGTGCTTTGATCGATGAATCGAAAACGTAGAAAGGGAGCGTTCGCGGAGAGGAGCGAAGAGCCGGACGCGAGTACGCAAACGATTACGCTCTTACCTTCGACCACGAAGCCGTCGACCATCTACAGGTGTTCGAATCGATCCGTCCTCGCGTGTTCGTGTGGACATCGCGACACGCAGCGGCCGCAATCCGAGAGCCGCGCGAAGCATCTTTCCTCCACGTGATTCAATGAGACTCGGCGCCCTGAGGCAGACAGGGCGAGAGACAGAAAGAGAGAGAGAAAAAAAAATAATTAAATCGCTCGAAATCGAAGAATTGGCGCGCTTTGACAGAACAAGAGCACGGACGCGCGCTGAGATCGTCGAGTTTCGTGACATCGAGAATAAACGCGATCTTACACACACCTACACACACACACACACACACACACACACACACACACACACACACACACACACACACACACACACACACACACACACACACACACACACACACACACACACACACACACACACACACACACACACACACACACACACACACGCGTACGCACGCACTAATCGAAATAATATAAACATTCGATCCGTAAGAATAACGTAACATTGCACAGACGTCGACAGTGATCTGTAAGTATTTGCACGTGAGATTTAATCGTGACATGTTGCCAAAAGAGGAGCGATAGCTGAGATTTTTCCCAGTTACATTAAGATCAAAACATATCGATTGTGTGTGCTTTACTTAAGGTAATAGCGCAACGATTGCAGATATTATTGCATTTGAGATTGGAAAAAGAAACACAAAACAGAAAAAACAAAAAAGAAATAATAAACACGCACAAATGGCACTTGTTCGAGACGAGTCGACACCAGTGATCTATGATTGATCGTAATACTCGTGACTAGGCGCGCTTGCCTTGAAGGAATAGAAAAATTCCGCGCTAACGATGGTAGCCTTCGTATCCGCCGCGGACAGACGCTCCGGGTCACAATGACAGCGTGAGGAGAGACAGGCTCCGATTTCTATCCGGGCGCAGAAATCATCTCGAGCTCGGCGCGAAAAGGCGATTTGCACTTTCAGACTCTGAAAATACGCATCACGCTCCGACGGGCGCGCGCGCGCGAGACTCAGAGGAGAAGAATCCGAGTGATGTGAGTCCTGCGAGCGATCAGGGAAAACAGTGACAACGTCCATCATCGACGGTCCACGATTTTCCTTTTCCCGGCTGCGAGAGGCTGCGAGACGTCGTGAAGCACGGCGACTGGAAGATCAGGGTGGATGAGGAGATGTGAAGCACGAGGAGGAGTGAAGCGCGTCGTAGATCTGGCGAAGGCGGAAGTCGAGGGAACGAAGGTGAGCTTCACCGCAGGGATAGCGGCACGTCGAGGGAGCACCTGGCGCGGGCCGCCTGAGATGACGGCCGCGCGACAGGACATCACGGCATCCCCGTACAGAACCTTCCTTCTGGTGTCTCTGATCGGACTGCTGCTCCAAATTCATTCGGCCACGGGTAAGCGCGCCTCTCTTTCTTATTCCGTCCAAACGACGCTCTCGACGCGTTAGCACGAGAGAAAATCTCGGAAATTAATAAGTTTATATTCCGTTTATACTTGGTCGACAAGAGGGAACGACTCGAGATGCTTGCGAGAACGAAATTTGGGGACGTTGCGAGGAACGGCATGACGTTCTTGTTATTTTTGGCTCACGCGCGGATGTTGCGTTTCTTATTCTTTTTATTATTGTTTCCCTTATACGAATTATGTTCTCAGAAACACTCGTGCCCGTCACACTTTTTCTCTTGAGTAGCTCTCTCTCTCTCTCTCTCTCTCTCTCTCTCTCTCTCTCTCTCTCTCTCTCTCTCTCTCTC